CTGACAACACCCAACCATTCAGAACCCCCCAACAACGCCATAGCAACCCCTCAGAACGCCCTGCCAACGCCCTAGCAACCACTCAGAACATCCTGACATCGCCCTAACAACCAGAACACCCTGACAATGCCGTACCATCCAGAACAACCTGACAATGCCATACCAACCAGAACACCCTGACAACGCACCAAGCAACCACTCAGAACACCCTGACAACGCCCTAGCAACCACTCAGAACATCCTGACATCGCCCTAACAACCAGAACACCCTGACAATGCCGTACCATTCAGAACAACCTGACAATGCCATAACAACCAGAACACCCTGACAATGCCTTAGCAACCACTCAGAACACCCTGACAACTCCCTAACAACCAGAACACCCTGACAATGCCTTAGCAACCACTCAGAACACCCTGACAACTCCCTAACAACCAGAACACCCTGACAATGCCTTAGCAACCACTCAGAACACCCTGACAACTCCCTAACAACCAGAACACCCTGACAATGCCTTAGCAACCACTCAGAACACCCTGACAACTCCCTAACAACCAGAACACCCTGACAATGCCTTAGCAACCACTCAGAACACCCTGACAACTCCCTAACAACCAGAACACCCTGACAATGCCTTAGCAACCACTCAGAACACCCTGACAACTCCCTAACAACCAGAACACCCTGACAATGCCTTAGCAACCACTCAGAACACCCTGACAACTCCCTAACAACCAGAACACCCTGACAACACCCTACCATTCAGAACACCCTAACAACGCCACAGCAACCACTCAACGCCCTACCAACCAGAACACCCTGACAACACCCTACCATTCAGAACACCCTAACAACGCCATAGCAACCACTCAGAACACCCTGACAACGCCCTAGCAACCACTCAGAACACCCTGACAACTCCCTAACAACCAGAACACCCTGACAACGCCCTACCAACCAGAACACCCTGACAACACCCTACCATTCAGAACACCCTGACAATGCCCTAACAACACCCTGACAATGCCCTAGCAACCACCCAGAACATCCTGACATCGCCCAAGAACCAGAACACCCTGACAATGCCATGCCAACCAGAACACCCTGACAACACCCTACCATTCAGAACACCCTAACAACGCCACAGCAACCACTCAGAACACCCTGACAACGCCCTAGCAACCACTCATAACACCCTGACAACTCCCTAACAACCAGAACACCCTGACAACGCCCTACCAACCAGAACACCCTGACAACACCCTACCATTCAGAACACC